GCCAGCCAGCACTCCCTCGCCCTCCTCCGCCACCCTCCTTTTAAAGCAACAGCTGCTTATTCATGGGACTGTGCAAACACCTGGGCTTCTTGGCTCTGTGTGTGTGTGTGTGTGTGTGTGTGTGTGCATGCGTGTGTGTGCGTGCGTGTGTGTCTGTGAGAGAGAGAGAGCGAGAGAGCGAGAGAGCGAGAGAGCGAGAGAGAGAGAGCACGAGCACACACTTTATGAGCTTTGTGTAGTCAGCCTTAGAAGACACCATGAAGGACAGAAGCTGGCAAAATATTCTCATGGGAGAGTAGAGAGTGGAACAAAATAGGATTGTCTGAGACCTATGATTTCACTGAACTCACTGAAAGCAAGGCAAAATAGTCTTGTTTAAAAGACATTTATTCTGAACCAAACTTTGGGGCAATAATTGTAGCTGTGGCCCACAGAGTACAGATGCGGGAGGCATATGAGGCTCGCCTTGAGCCCCAATTCTGTTATGTGACCAGTTGTGTTATCTTGGGCAAATTGTCTAATCTGTCTAAAGCAAAGCCACATCATCTGTAGAATGAAGACAAATAATATCTACCTCACAAGATGCTTGTGAAGATTAAATGAGAGTGCAGGTTAGTGCAACATGTATGTAATAAGCTCAGAAAACAATAACTATTAACTCTTATATGTGGGCTGTGTGTTGAGCTAATTTATTCTTTCGACGTGCCAGTTGTTATAATGTTATCAAATGTTATGGAATAAAATTTACAGTTCTTTAGGAAGAGGCAAATTAAGAATTTCTTATTGTCTTCTGAAGAGGAAAAAAATTGTCCTTAACGAAACATGCCTGCTTTCTTGTTTCTTTCGTTTATAGATAACCACTGCACGACTCTTGAATATGTTGTTTTGTATTCTACAATGACTCAAAGCTTCTATTAAACTCATGATGAATGAAAGAATGATGTGAATAGAGAATTACTGAATCCAACGTGGCATGATTTGTTATTGCATTTATTTTGTAGAACAGGATACTCAACAGAGCCACTTCCCAGCAGTTATTAAATGACAATCCAGTGAGCTTTGACCATCAGTTACCTGGCTCGCATGAAAGATGGATGAACAATTTTGCTTTTCAGATCCCAAAGCAATGCAGAGTTGGCAAAAAGTACAAGTCACTGTTAAAACAAATCTATTTTTCAAGGTTGACACATTTTGTATTTATTTCAATTTGTAAATGTCTTCTGGTTTAGAGAAAAGTGTAAGGGAATTCCTGGGAAGATGCTTTAAAATTTAATTAAGATGCAGTTTGAAAACATATCCCTTGTGCTTTGCACTTGTAAATATGAGCATATCAGGAACTTCCACGGAGATGTAAATGTTCGCATCCTGATGTTGGGTAGCTCAGGCTGGGAACTGTGTATATTAATCTTCTGACAATATAGCAGTGTGCCTCTTTTGCACAACTGGGCCCTGTGGGTAACTTCTGTGCAGTGTATTCATAGGAAGAAAACCTGATATTTTAAATTCTCCTCCTTTCCTTTGGGAGATTGCTGCATACTCAACACAAACTCTTGCTTCTTTTACTTACAGGGCTGGAAAAATTTCTATTAAACCAGAGTCTGAAAAACAAAGGGCACTATGGTGAGCAATTGATTACTTGGAGCTGTTATTCTCCAAGCTTCTTGTTATTGGAATAAGAGAATGGCCTGGCATGGGAGTCTGAAATGCTCAAAACACTGATCCATCTCCTACCTCTGGCAGACTTTTTGCTTAATTCTGCTTTTCAGTTGATTCATCCAGGAACTGAAAGAATTCCATTTAAATTCCATTCAGTGAATATTTATTGTGCACCTGCTATGTACTAATACTAGTGTTGGATGGTACATATTAAATAAGATAAGGTTCTTGCCCTTAAGACATTCACAAAATAATTAGGGGAGTAACTGGCAACTTGGAAAGAATAGCACTTCTCTTAAGGAGTTAACCCCAGGATACATGATAATATAACTCATCGAAGTAATACCTTTAGCCTTTGGAATCTTAGTATCTATTAGTGGTTACTTCCTGTGAAATGTTTGAATCATTGAGAATAACTTACCATATGGCAGTGTTTTGCTTACTATAGAATCTTTGATGCGAGTCTTGTGCTAAACACATTTTAGATTACTAAATACAGGGAAGTGCTTGGAATGTCTTTTATCCTTTATTTAAGGAAGGAATGGTGGCTCTGCTGGGATCACTTCTTGGGAACACTTAGAACTCTCAGTAAAAGTACACACTGTTTACAGAAGATAAACCCTCTGAGCTTCAACATATTGTTTCTGTCCACAGCTGGTTCTGTTTTTTCATGGATTTTGTGGCCGGAGGGGAAAAATAGCAATTAAACTCTAGGATACTCTAGAATTAAACTCTAGATTATCCTAAAGTTGATACCTCCTTGTGATGATGTATTTCAAAATTTCTTACAAAAAGCATTAACTGTGCTCTTTAAGCACTAATGCACACTTATTAAGCCACATCTCAGTATTTAATGAATTGCCTATAAAATTGCAGTTGTACTTGATTTTGTTCTTTTTGTTGGGTTCATGATATAGTGTATTAGAAAGAGCTTTTTTATTTTAAAAAGGTTGATTCTCTTTGTCCTTGTATGGTAGATACAGAAATTTTAATAGCTGCTTTGTTCAACTGGTACTCAGAATAGGTAATGGAAAGTTAAAACTGACTTCTTAATCATCAGGGTATATGATTATGCTTTCTCCCAAGAAAAGCTTCAGTTTCTCCATATTTCTCTGATGCTGCCTGCATTCCAAACTAATTTTTGTAATGAGGAAGGGAGATGCCAAAATTGACTTTAAAAATTTTCAGGACCAATAATGCCAGCATTGATCTTGGTTCATAACTTCACGTTGCTCTGAATATGTTTGCTGCATTGCAAGCAGAAGTCTTTAGAACGTACCTGTTTTACAATGATGGCTGAGAAAATACAGAAGAAAGAAATGGGGTTTTCACACTTAAGTATCACTACTTATCTTTTGGAGTTGGACTCCACAATAGCTTTAAATACATATTAGGTGTAATGAAATACCAAACTTCTGTCTGAATAAAATTTGAGGAAGGTAGTGGCAAGTTAGCAGATTATGTTTTATTTTCTTAAAATTCCAGAATACTTAGTCCAACTTATCTTTATTTAAACTGTTACTGCTTTATAAACATTACTTAAGTCAAGATGAACCATATTCACTTAAACTGCAATTTGCTAGGAGTTTATTTACATTTAAACGCATTATCTTACATCATGTATTTCAGTTTTTCTTTTATAGAAAATGACAATGTCATAAAAATGGCAATTTTTCCAAAGTTATTTTGCTTCCTTCATCTTTGCACTCCACTCCTTTTTCTATGGTTTTACTCCTTATCATTACCAGAAGACTTAGGGTATGACTAAAGGCAATAATTGTATTAATAATGCTTTGATGAGAATTGATAACTATTAATCCCCACATTCCTTCGTCCCCCTTTTCTTTTCAGGGATGGGCTATTCGTGAAGAAAAACTTAAAAGATGACTTGAATCTGATGCTTCCTTGACCTAATGTCTAAGTATTTATTGAGCTAGTATTTAAAAAACATTTATTTTTCATGTGAAAACTTGGGATTTGGTGTAATTTCATGATTTAGAATTTCAGATGGGGTTTTGCAAAATGTAGTTATATGTTTTCAAGGTACTCTAGAGTAGGTGCTTTATACACATTTAGTATATAAAGGTTAAGTGTATCGGCCTTCTGAATATTCCTTAGGTGTAAAAACCATCTCCAACAAATTCATAAGAGAGGCTAAGAACAAATTCTCATATTTCTTACCAACACAGGTTCAGAATTATCAGAAAATAGCAAGATGGGTCCGATTTTGAAGGCTACAGGACTCAAGTGAAAATATAAATAAATTCAATATTCCTTCCCAAAACATTATCGTATTCACATCCAGCTCAGACTGTTTTTTTTTCCCATTTTTTTTTTCCTTTTAAAAAATGTTGATAGACTTTTGTATTATTTCGTAGTTTCTTGACAATAGTGTTTAGTTGTTTTAGGTATATGCATGTATAGTCTACCCATTGGAATGAGTGAGTCTTGAGGGCAGTTAAAACATTTTACTTCTTGTGCATTACCCAAACATCTGACAAGTATCTAACATGATATTGGGCATAGACAGAATACTTAGTAAATATGTGCTTTCTTGATTCATAGGCTTTTTGTTTTGTTGTGCTGTGTTTTTTTGATGTGTCCTAAGCTGAAGATAGTTAAAGAAAAAAATTTCTGTAGAAGGATAGTTAAAGAAAGATGCATGTGTTTCATCTGAACATAGAGGTAGGAGCAAGTAGGATGATACTCAAAATGGAAAAGAGATTGAGTATGGTGTTCCACCCATGCTATTTGCAACTGTTGTCCCTGGAACTGTGATATCACAGGAAAGCAATCTTCACCTTCCAAGGCTTTTTGAGTTGTCACATACCTCCCAAACCTGAATCTCTCTCCTTTCTCTGGTAGGAAATGATAACAGGCAAAATTCTCAAGTAGCTCTTTTATGCTTATTATTGTTTCAAATAAGAGCAAGCTCTCTCACATTAAACTTTACACTGGTTAAAATTGCCTTTATCCTTAAAGTTTCTGATCTGTTTCTCTCCCCCTTTTTTTTTTCCAGTTCTGGCTGACTCTCTGGATTAAGTTTTATTAATCTTTCTCCTGATTTCTCTTTTTTTTTCCTGCTTTCTTCCATCTTCACTTCAAATTGGATGTACTTCATAAAATGATGTCTAAATAGTTCAGCCATTCTATTGAATTGAACTTAGATATTAGATAAAATACATTTTAAGTGATTTTTAACTAAACGCCAATGTGAAAATGTTGAAATACATACCAGTGTAAACTTATTAAACTTAAGACCATATGAAATACAGTTTAAAAATTACATTGTATTCCTCCTACTAGACATCTTAAAGGATGCAATTCACCTTTGAGTCATGATGTAATTTAGATTATATTTTATTAGACGTTCTTTACAAATTTAAAATACTGCTCTTTTACATGCACAGAGGAAAATCAGTTTGGATAATTATATTTAGGCATTCATTAAGATCAACCACAAAATAAAGACACTTTATTGTGTCATTTATCAACATACTTGATATGTATATCTAAAGTGCATTATGTTACAAAAAATATAGAAATTCAGCAGCACCAAGATACATTTACAAAATAAATACATCAGTTGACAAAATAAATTATGGTAAATGTGATAATAATAATTGGATTAGCCTTGGAAAAATATTCACAATGACCAATGTGCAGTTTCATAGAGCAATGGGGGAGACAGTTTTATTCCAATGCATTTACAGTATTTACAGATAATAAATATTTCTAATACTTCCCATATGTTCACTATTACAGAATCCTGCAATATGTCCTCTGAAGTTCTTTGCAAAAATTTCAATGCTTCCTGCAAAGAGAAGGAAGGAAAAGAAGAAAATAGGTTAATTTTCCTTACAAACGAAGAGACTAAAATAAAGTGTATGAATTAGGAAACATAGAATCACAACGGAAAGAGATTCAGGGGACTTCTTGTAAATATGTTTTCTTGTAAAACATATTTACAAGAAGTCCCTGCGGGATCCACCTGACTCTCTAGAACTTCTGCTACAGAATAGTTAATCTGATCAAATGGTCAATGTAGCACAGCAGGAAGAAGGCTTGCATTTCTAAGTATACTCTGTCAGATAAAGGAGACCCTGTGAGAATTTTCCAAAGCTGCCAATCGGCAAGTTGGGGATGAGAAAGGACATATTTGAGAAGTTGGAAATAAGGCTCGGTTGTGCAATTCATCATCAAATACACCTTGTTTAGAAGTTTATTCCCCCAGTGATGCCGGATGTACGTGATCCACAGGTTGTTTGTTTTTCCAGGTTCTCATTTGGCCACTCTGTTGCTAAGATAAAGGGTAGTCTAAAGTGTGTGACTTGGGGGTAAATGTTAGAAAGATGCGTAATTAAATAGAGTATGTTTGGTTGATGATTTAATGATACCTATCATTTTCTTAGTTGTCCTTAAACATTAACAAATGAAACTGTCATTGGATTTTAGTTTTTGAAGCCAAAATTAAGATACAATTATTTCTCACTCTGCTGTTTTTTTTTTTTTTAAATGGATCTTGCATTAGAAATTGCAAAAGGCCTATTTTAAATTAGAGAAAAAGGATCAATGGATTTAACGGTATGAAATAGCACAACTAAGGAGAGAATGCATAGTACTTGAACAATTATTTTATGAAAAGGAAAGAAAGAAAAAAGGAATAAATAAGGACCAAGGAAAAAATCATTTAATTATATTTCACGCTGCCCCACCAGCTTGCTCGTTATCCTTCCTTCTGAGACTTTAACAAAGGCATGTATTGGAATAGCCAAGTAAAAAATATAACACAGCTTAAAACTATGTGTGTATGTTTATTACATGTGTGTGTATGATGCTTTAGAGTATTAGCTCTTTTGAATACTGAAAAGCTTGTATATTGTTTTTAAATAAATATTTACCAAGGCAAAATATATAGTCTCAACAAAATGAGTCCAACTGTATCTGGACATCTCATTTGCAACATGAAAAATTCCAAAGTGTAATTTCTAAAATTTAAAGCTATACCCCGAATGGTTTCAAAGAGAAACCTGACAGTTTTACTTCAGTAGTTTCTATTAAGAACTACTATATATATTAGAATAAAGTTCATGCTTGTCATATCATCAGACCTCTCAGATCATCATATAATAATGCAAAGAGACTAAAGAGAGAACATTAATAAAAGTCTAGTTGCCTATAAAACTATAAAATAGTTATTCTGAAAAGATTTTATTTGTATTACACAAGTTGCATGGCCCCATATGTTCTCATCAATACACTTCTAAATTTCCCCACTCTTCCCTGCGCCTCTGTTGGGTTGTATTGGGAGAGTGCCAACATCTGGCTGCCAAACAAACAGTGCTTTCCATGAACGCTCCTCACAACCAGGGAATAGAGAGGAGAAGCAGAAACATTCTATTTCTTTCAGTCCTAGGTCTGGATTTGATTAGGCCACTGCCTAATTTTCACTAGATCTACTTTAACTTAGGGAAGCTTTGGAATAATAATTGATGAGTGCTGATTTTTCATTAATTCTCCAGATACTTAAGCACACTGAAAATTTTAAATGAATAAAATCCATAAAAATTATGTATACTTCATACTTCTGTTCTCTCTCGCTCTCTCTCAAAGAGAGAACAGATTAAAAATAGGTTCTGGCAATAGAGTCCTTGCATTCATTATAAATAAGTACAGTTAGGATCATACCTTAAAATACACTGACTATCTGCATTGAGCCAAAATTCATAAGGTTTGTTACCCCTTATAGATCCATTAAATACTTGCAGAATAGGACATTCACTGTACTAAAGATTTCTCTAGTGCCATTGCCCATTGATTTCTGAAGCTGTACTACTTATCCAATATAAATATTTTATATGCTATTTAATGATGAGTTTTGTCAACTTAAAGAGAGAAGCGATAGTAAATAGGTTCAAACTCCCCTTCGAAACATCACTCTGTAATCTTATTTCTAGTCAGAGGAGAGAACTGGAGAAGTGACAGAGGACTCCTTAAATAATGAGATCATTAGCTGCATGTGACACATTCTTGTGTGGTTTTCCTCTTTCTTTCAAACCCCACAGAAGTGCTGTACTGAAAAGTAAAAAACAAAAAAGGATCCTATCAGTGGACATGCATAGATCAAGAGGGCAGCACTAACACGACACTGGTATAAGTGTCAGGAAATAGGGAAATAAATACAGTCTGAGGACTACCTATCCCAGTTCCCAGGACTACTCAGGTCCTTTAACCATGGAATATCTTGTTTTTCTAGTTCAAACACCAGTATAGATAGATGGAATGAACAATCAGAATTATATATAAGAGCACCAAACAAGAAGTGAAAATTTATTGAGCATTTACTATATAACAGACATTTAACTCATGTATTCTCATTTAATCTTCACCCAAGCCAGTGAAGTTAGTACAATTATTATTTTCATTGCAGAGAAGGGAAAAGTGAATCTTAGACCAAGTAACTTGTCCAAGGTTGTGAACTTTAAAGTTCAGACCCAAAATTTGAACCTAAGGTATTTGTCTCCGAAGTCTGTGAATGTCATTACTACCTGCATCTGTGAGCTAAAGATAAACAGGCCACATAGATGTGAAGTTTTATTATTCCTACTACAATGCCCTAGAAAAATTATTTCAGCTTGCCCGGGGGTAAAAATATACATATATGTATATTTACATATATATTTACATGTATATTTACACATATATGTATATTTACATATGTATTTACATGTATATTTACATATATATGTATATACGTATTTTATATACATATATGTGTATAAAATACGTATATACATATATGTATATAAAAATATACATATCCTTGTCAAGCCATTACTTAAAAATATTCAGAAATCATGATTTTTCTCATTAGCAAGTAGACACTAGAGTTAAATTTACTTAAATAAATTTAAAGTGTGTGTTTAAAAATTTTAATTTATTAAATTAAATATATTTAAATTAAATATTTAAATACATTTACTTAAATAAAAATGTGAACAGCTTAGAACTGTTTATGGTAAGATATTGTTCCCTATTTGTAGATCATATCAAAGCCTTCTATGTTCTCGCCTGAAGTGAAAAAAAAAAAAGGCTAAGAAATGAAAAATGATCAAGAAAGTTTGCCAAGGTGTGAGAGTGGGTGAATCATAAATCCACTTCTCTAGCCAATAATGAAGGTGGTCAATAGCTTCTGAAGCGTGAATAAGAAGTGAAATTATTTAGTGGAGGACTAAAGGATTGGCATTGGGGGGTATAACAGCAGAGAAAGAGAAACAGCTTATTAATCCCCTGTGTGTGTTGAGATGGTAGGAGGACAGAGCTTTAAGTCAGTCAATATTCTGAGCCACTCTGGTTTTGTCATCTTTAAGGAGGGATTGATAGGGAGGCAGAAAGGTTTGTCCAAGCTAAGACTGTAGTGAAGCTACACAACCCTGGCGACAGGGCCACGGGGAGGCTCTGGGCCAGGAAGCCAATTACCGGAAATTGAGCTCCAGCGATGTTGCGGAGATGTCAGACAGATGGTCCCCTTCTAGCCCACTCCCAGCCACACCAGAGTTTAGCCAGGCTGATCGAGTCCGCCGTTTCTTCTTTTCCTGCTCCTTACGTTTTCCAGGCTTGCCTTTCTTTTTCTTGCCGGGTGTCTTCAGTGGCTGCTCTTTGTATGTCTCCACCTTGTTGGTTTCCTGAGTTAGGCATCTGCCCTCATCGTCAGACCCAAATCGCACGGGGTGGTTCTTTGTGTTGGGAGCAGGCTTGGAGTTGGGGGAAACCTCCGAGGTAGTTCTGATTTCAGCTGTGTGGATTTCTGCGATCAGGTGGTGAAGGAAGAATCGTCGCCGTAAGTCTTGGATGGACTTTCCCTTGTCATGGAGGAGCTGATGTTCAGACACAGCTCTTTTGCTTTAATGAAAAAATAGCAGGAGATAAGAAAAACAATGAAATTTTAATTGTTGGTACAGACCACAAAGATATATGGAAAGCCTTTCAGTTTTCTAGTTGGTCTTATAAAGGGCACAGCTGGAAGAGGAGCAAGCTCTCTGAGCAGGGAAGGGGAGACAGTGGGAAGGGCAATTAACAGGCTCTAGCCTAGAGTCCCAGTTTTGCCACTCACTAGATCTGTGCCCTTGGTGACAACACAAACATTCTTGGGCCTAGTGGCGCCCAGCTGCTTAAAAGGAATGGGTCAGATTCAGTGTTTTCTATGCTCCCTTCTCAATTTAAATATGATTCAGTTATTCTCAGAAATGGACAGAAACCACTAAATTGCTTTTCACGTTTTTTCAGAGTTATATTGGGGAAATAAATCCAGAAGTCCTAGCCTGGGAAATAAAAAGGAGGCTGCTTCTACCTGAGTACTCATCCAAGGTGTGCGCGTTCACGTGTGTGCACATGCACGCGTGCACACACACACACACACACACACACACACACTGCTCCCCCACTAAGAAAATAATAATACCGAATCTGAAAGAAGAGCAAGCTGTAAAAGTAAAAGCAAACAAAGACTGAAGGATAAGGTGAGCAGTGAAGCCTGTCTAGGAAACCACCTAACAGACTGAATTTCAACACATTAGACTACAGGCTACCAAGAACTTATATTGGAAGGCCAACTGTCAGAGAGAGCATACATAATTTTCTGTAAAGTAGTGGGTGGTCTTTTTAAAATGGGTTTCTTTGTGTGTTTAAATTAAGAGAGATCATTCTATTTCTTCTGTATATCTTTTTTAAAAAGATTTAAAATTTCAGAGGTTATTATCCTTAGTACTTAAGATATTCACCTTTTCTACTTATTCTTCGTCTTAAAACTATCTCTAGGGATAGAAATAATGACTCTTCTATTTAAACAACACATAAAAATACAGTGAAAAAGAATAAGCTAATTTGCTATCAATCTTTTCAGATGACGCTCTGGCTCTTGCTTAAATGTCCATGCACGAATTCTTTCATTAGTTTGTATGTACAATGTTAACCATATTTAAAGATTACATTAATCAGTCATGCCTACTTCAACTCTGCCAATTTCTACCACTGAAAATCCTCTGAAGCGGCTCATTTTCAAAAGTATCTGAGGGTATTTCACAGGGCAATACCGTGTATTCTTACTTCCTTGACACAATGGTATCTGAGTTCTGTATTGCTTTCACTATTACAACTTCTTTAACTCCTCAGAGAAATATGACAATAATAAGTGGCATTATCCTCATTTTATAGTTGGGGAAAGTAAGATTCAGAGAGATCAAATGCCTCTCCCTTGTCCACATGATGAAACCAGAAACCAGGCAGAACCAGTGCCTCACAAATGAGTTCTGATTCTAAAACCAAGACTGCTTTCACCTTCCTCATCCCTTCCTTCTGCTGAAGTTGAAGTGTATGTTGAGAAAACCAGAAAGGAAAGACACAGAGTAAAAAGCCTGTGGTGGGAACCACAACAATGGGCAAATGGACAGCAGTCTATCAGTTTCCTTGAAGACCAAGCTTATTGCCCCAAGAAGTCCATTTTCATTACCAAAATAAAGAACTAGGATGCCTAAAGTTTGAATTATTACTGAGGGAATGAGAGATTGTCTAGTTATACTTTGAATCAAAGAATGGTAAAACACGAAAGACCAGTCATTATTTCTCTGGATCTTATAGCTGGAATGCCAGCTTCCTTTTAGTATTTTAGTGTGTGGACTGACTTTAAGTCATGTAGCTTGTTCAAAAAAGACATGACTTAATGGAAAGGAATTTAACAGGAGCCTGGTTTAAATGAGGCATGAAGGAGTCTCTCTTCCTTTTTAAAGGTGCCACATGTGACTAGATTAAAATTCACTTACTTTGTGGCAATACTTAGTATTCTGGGAACTTAATAATCCACAAATTTGTGGCTTTTGTACAATATATTTATGTCCTATAATGACATTTTAAAAGAATGGGACCGATATAATTGCATATTTCATAAGCACTGCAGTTTAATAAGTATCTTTTAGCAAAATGTCACATTAAAAAGTTCTTAACCAGTGATCATTTATAGTATTTGAGGATTTTATTTTTTTCTCAATTTCTGGCAGATATCCACCCCCATTGGTATTGCTCTCCAAATGTATAAAAAGCCCATTCTAACTTAACCTGAAGCCAAAACTTTTAATGGTTGGTCTGTTCTAATCAAGCCACATTGCTCATGCCCCCTCTGACTGGCATATATGCCTCTCATCTTGGCCAGCCTGTCAACAGTGAGTCACAGTGCCTTCTTAACTCAAGCACTGCATTTTCCCAGGATGGTTCTCATGGGAAAAGGAGTGATCTTTCTATCTTATGGCACAACTTTGTCCATTTTAAAATAGTTCATCTCTTGTGACGTACAAACATCCTCTCTGCTTTTTAAGGGTAATTGCTAATATATTTAAAAACATGGATTTTTAAAATGCTAAATCTGAAATGCTGTTTCATAATTTACTTAATAGTTCAAGGCTTCTGCATTTAAACTATTGTGAAGAATGAATTTCTGATTGGGCAACTGCATTAGATGATTAGGAATATTATAGTATCTTTATTGTCAACAGGGAATAAGGTCCATAGAGTGTTCTATTTATTTTCAACATAAAACATGAACAGACTCAAGGATAAATGACTAGCATGTACAAATTAGATATACACAGGTAATGATTATTAAGTTCAGATTAAGAAGGCTTTCAATTTAGATAATTCTGAAATATTTAAGTTGTAAATATGGCCTCGATAATAGACCATTGCTCTATATGTCTGTAAACATTATGGCACAATAGTTCACATGGCATCTATTACATACTTAAGCTCCAACATAGAAAAACAAGTATGTAATGTTCATGGTCTCCTTTGATTATTGTAAAAGAAATTGCAAAAATGTGAGGGAAATGATTAACATAGATAGATAACTCTAAATTCAGTCAAAATATAGCTCTTCTGTCTTAAGGAAAAATCATTCTTAAGGGAGTTTTCAGAGAAGATTAAATTTCTAATGCGCTATCAAGGAACACAGGGAACAAACGGTGATGGAAATTCCTTTCAGGACAGGAAGAAGCAACATGCTTATGCTGATGCTAGACTTCTAAGGAAGGAGCTTGGGTTCGAGAAGAAAAGTTCTGTGGTCCAGGGAAGAGTCAGGGTTAGGGTGTTAGAGTTAAGATGACTCACCAGAAGTCTCTTCCAACCCAGATGACTCAGTCGAAAGTTATGCTTTTCAGTAAGTAGAATAGCCCCAGTCTGGCTCCCCAACAAATCAGCCATGATGTTTTAGGTTTCTGAATCTGCTGGGGTTCCCCCTCTAACTTAAACACAAATGTTGCCACCTGCCGCAAGCCATGTTCATCTGGACAAGAACGCTCACACGCCCCACCTTCCAACTTACTCATGCTCTAGCTTCATTAATTAAAATCTTTTGGACTCACAGGTCCAAAAGATTCACAAATCTGTATTGCCTCTTTTGCATGGCTTGATGGTTTTATTATTGCAGCAGTTTTCTCTTCTTTAAAAGTTAGCCCCTAGTTAGAAAAACATCTAAAGCACTTCCCCTAATACTTGATGTAGAAAGTAATTGGAGAGTGACATGGTTTGATTATGTGTTAAAGTTTCTTTCAAGAACCTAGGTTGATTTAGCATAATATTAGACTAATATTTTGTTTTACTGTTACTTGGCAGCAATGCAAAAATAATGACTTATTTTTTAAAACTCCATTTTACTATAATCATTTGATGAGACATCTTCATCTACTGATGATTTCAGCCTCCATGAAAAACCATGGCTGTGAAGTGATGCTCTATTAGCCATTAACTATAAGAATGTTTTGTGGTAGTTTTATAACCATCTATTCTGTGTGTATGTTTAACTACAATATTATATTTCACCCACAAACAAAACTATAACAGTCTTTGGCTGCTAAACGGTTTTTGATGTGTATTTTGCAAGGTGCAACAAAGAAAGAGTTAAAAATAGCCTTTAAGACAATTAGCACATTTTTATGCATTACTGTGGATTTAATCATGGTCCATTTACTGTTTCTCAAAAGAGAAAACAGGTATTTCTTAAGCAACTTTCAAGAAAAAATTGGCTGTGTTCCAAGACAGTATTTCTTGGCCAAATAAATACAGCATTTAAGCATGCTTTTAAAAATTCAGTCTTCATCTATATTTACATATGAATTTTAAATAATTGAATTTAATGCAAGTCTCAAAATGAGCAAAAAGTCTGAAGACAATTTTTCAAAAATACATCAGCAATATGTTGATTTGAAGAGTACAATGCAGCTTTATCTTCAGTACAATGTTCTACACAATTTGCCTAAGGAAATTCATAATAGATTTTCATTTTAGTGCCAAGGCTCAAACATGTCTAAAGTAATTTCATTTAAGGATTTTCTGCTCTAATAATAGACCAAAGGCACATATAAAACTGTTGCCTTTTTGTACACCCTTGGGAAATTATAAGGAAGCACCATGGATTTGATTGTAAATATTAGATATTGCTATTTTTATCGTTAGTGTAAAAATTCTCCTTAATTCCTTCTCCAGAGTCAAACTCTTCTCAGTTCTCAAACTTTATGGTTTTCTCATCCTGAACACCGAGTCTGCAGCTTAAAGATCACCCAAAGACAGTGTTACACACATTAATGAATTGCTGGGTCCAATGAATTACGAAGATAGCGTTACTCTACCACTCCCCCACCTTTTCAGTCACACAACACAGTGCTATTTATCTGGTGTGCTTGAATGTACCATTACTTTTAAAGTCAAAATTATCCTTAAAAGAATCACTAAATGATAATTTCAAAATACAAGTTTTCAGTCTACAATGCAGATGTGGCTCCAGATTAAAGAACTGTTAGCCATAATTCCAAAGGAAAAAAGTTTCCACACTGATATTAATTTGGAATCAAGCACTCCAGCGTTCCTGAACGGTATCGATACTAAAGTTGGAATTGTGCCATTGCAAACTTGTTACTACTTTCTTATATAATATGCCTTTATTATGTAATGTAGTCCCATTTTATATGCTTAAAATTATGTCACGCACAATAAAATTAGATGTAAGTTTTTTGCTTTTCACACACCAATTGCCACCCACATTCAGTATGTATACAAGCGCATACAGACATATGTCCCCTGGATCCCTGTGCTTCCTCCGAGTTCTCTAACTCTATTGGAATCCTCAGGGTTTCAAAACCTTCCTAGGTCCTGAAAGTAACCGTTTTCTTTCACTAGAGACAGAGGATCTTTGCCTAGAAGAGGTTCTGTAAAAAATGCTCCCTCTTATGGAAACTAACATAAAATTATCTCATGCCTGTGTTCCCTGGAGGTTCAACCAGTTTTCCCGCCGGGTTTGAGGACCCGGGCCCAGCCCCCGGCAGGTAGCCGGATCTTCCCGCTCTCTAACCCGGGCGAGGAGCATCAGTGACCGCTGCGAGCCCTCGGCAGCGCCCCAGCCTGGCGGCCTCTCCCAGTGGCCTCCCCAGCCCTCTCCCGGCGCCGTGGGGAGGACGGGGCACTTACAGCCTGCGGCCGAGCTCCTCCACCGAGCGC